AAGCAGAATACGTAATGCAGCTCATCAGTGCTCCAGCGGTCGCTTAACACTGATAGTTAGACAGGGGCTCAAATCCCAGCAGACAAGCTAATTGCAAGAGAATTTAGCTATTTCCTCAAATGTAAAGTAAATACGATCCAGTTTCCCTTTCTCATACTTTGTGAAGTTCTCCACGAAGGCATCCCTTCTCTTACACAGATAGCTCATGTGCTTTGCCATGATACAAATAACATACAAAAAATGAGGAGAAAATGCAGTAGATGCTAGATAGTCCAAGGGATAGAACAATTATTAATAGATGTAGCAGATCATTTTTGAAACATTTTGAGTACCAATGTCCGGGAGTTCTAAATCACAGAGAGTTCTTAAATATTAAATAACTTCAGTGCCTATAATTGAGTCTTAAAATTGGGTTAACTATTACTACACTTTATATTGAATTTATTGAATCTTAAAAATTGCAATTTTCTAGGAAAAAAGAATCTTCTGCTTGCAAAAATTCTGAAAATTCAAAATTTGCGAATCCATGGGCGATGTCCATGATTATTACATTAACCACTTCTAATAACTAATGCAATAACTCTTAAGTTGGGGGAATGTAAATAATCTATAGATATTTCGAAATGCAAATAAATTTGACAGTTAAGGAAAATTGAAAAATATACTAATTATCATAAAAAATAAACAGAAAATTATTGTCGTATGAAAGAAAAATTTTCTCATTTCTTTTGGTTTCTCTCCCTCAAATTTTAAAAAATTATATCAATCTAAAATTTTGTTACTTAGGGAAATTGCTATAAATTAAGCGTATAACAAATCAGTGCGAGAATGGTTTTGCATAGGAAACTGACACTGCAACATGTTTCAACTAGTTCTAACCAGCTTCAGAGCTTAAAAAGCTCCATAATTATAATCTTCTCATTGTAAATGCAGAAAGTTTAAATCAGTCATTAAATGCCTTTATCATTTACAGCCCGGATATTAAAAATTATCATAATTAAGGATTTTGAATTTTCGCAATAACAAAAGTATAAAATAATAATCAACAGCTGATTCAAGGCTTTCATATGAGTATATAATCCGAATGGAATGTAAAAAAAACTATTACTACACTTAATATTGAACATTATTGACTTTGAAAAATCAATATTATAATTTATAAAGCAGGCATGTTAAATAAACTGAAATTATTAAATGCCACAAAAATACAAATATGTTGACACAATTTTCTAATGCGACCACCAATGGTTTCAAGCGATTTAGGCCACTTAAATAGATATCAGCCTTAGAGAGGCAACGTACAAAAGCCTGTTTATTTAGGTTGTAGGAAACTTAGGTTGTAAGAGTTCGTCGTCATGAGATTCTCTGTACTTGATATGTAAAACAGCTACAAATACTACGTCTTACTAAAATGATCAGGCATATTTAGGCTTCCAAAACCATGTCAAAAATTTAAAAAAGAAAATCTAACAGAAAAGTTGCTGAAATGGTTAATTTAAAGCAATTAACATAGTTTATGATAAACCTTAATCAAAGCATTACAGGATTCAGAAATCAGTAAATTAGCATGATTATCAAATCAGGTTATTTAGGTTATGGCAAAGTAACTTTAAACTGGCTACAAAGTAATATCTGCAGTGAGTGGTATGAGATGAAAAAAGACTAACCATTTTGTGCACATTCAATTATCAATGAAAAAACGAAAATCTTTTTTTTGGCAGTTGAGATGCATCATTTTGAAACTTACTGACAGTTAGCTTCGATATTAATTCTATTATAAGTAAAGCTCCTTCTAGAATTAATTGAAATTAATGATGGGGACTATTAATACCTACTATAAAATGATAGAAGCCAGGATATCATGGGAAAAATTTCAGCAGCAAAATATACATCTAGTAGCTTAGTTGTTATCGGAGTTAACAGCAGCTGCGTTTAAAAATATAAATCCAAACCTAAATTATGGTCTATTTATCAACTTTTATGAAAGATGTAAACAACTGGTTTAATGTTTTAAACAGTTATATTCTGCCTTACAACTGTGCTTATAAAAGGCATAAATCAAGTCAGGATGCAGCATAATGTCTACCTTTTGGAAACTGAAAAACATGAAATGAAATTTCAAGAGGGAAAAAGAAAAAAAATCACTGCAGGTATTTCAAAAAATTCTTATTTCTAGTTCTTCTTTAGAAAAATCAGTTACATTATGTGAAACAAAAATACCACTGTTCATACCTTCATTAAAATAAGTTTCCCCAGGTTAAGGAACAAGAGGAGGATTGGACGATCACTTATTTCTCTTAATGCTCTACATGCTATACTCTTAATGCTATATTGCCTACACATATTAATTTATTGCACTTCTAAGTTTTTTTTTTTATTAATTACAATAGTTTGTGCACTAAATTTCCAAATAAGGTCACCCCTTAGCAATAAGTTTATATTTTCTTTGTTTTTCTAGGGGATAATTTATTAACTTATACATTGTTATGAAATGTCCAGCTGTGGTAAGATAGCTTCCCTGCAAGGTGGGTTTAGGGTTGCTATATTTGGCGCAAAATCACTCCTTCGGAAACAAAACTGGCGATATACCATGGTTGGAGAGAGAACATTCTAGAACAAATTCTTACTGGTTTGGCCCAGTGTTCTCAAAAGCAGTCCAAAAAGCTATATAAACCCTGCCTGTATGCAGAGCAGCAGCTGATCGTCAGTTTAGTGTCGAATACATTGTAGTGTGTTGAGTTCCGAGAGCACTCGACCGAGTCAGGAGCTGTAATTTAAAGCTTTGCCTTGAAGCCGTCTTCACCATTACAGCCTGAAGGCTGTGTTGCTGATTGTTTCAGCATGTTTGTCAGTTTTTTTACGACTGTAAACGTGTTTCTGGAGCTGTCATATTACTCAGAGTAATACTGAATAGTGTTTTGATACTTCATCAAGTATCATCATTAATCACTCCAAATCCATAAATTTGTGTAAAATATAAAAAATACAATGGCTTTGCTCTACACAAACAGGTGAAGATGTAAAATATAAAAAATGTGATGCCTTTGCTCTACGCGAAAAGGCAACCTCTAACTTTCTGCTATTTCAGGATCTTTACCCTGGACCAGTACTGTCGAGAACATTCGAGCATGTTATGTAACCGCTGCTATAAATGAAGAATTCGTGCCATTTTTCATCAGATTGTTTTTCTCCGTCTGCCACTGTAACACCTTTTTGCTGCCGCTCTGTCTTTCTTTGTTTGAATAGTATGACGCAGTAAATTTAAAGTTAATAATATTCAGTCTAAATTACTATCACATATGTAATCTTGAATGATCTGCCATTTGCAATGAATAAAAATATGGAACTAAAAAGTTATTCTTCTGTGTTGTCATTGGATTACACTAAGCCACAACAATGTCCTGATTCGGATGCCCAGCTTCGTCACTTATGTGCCCGACTGCCAAAATATCATATTTATATACACAAAAAATTATATAGGTCACTATAAATATGTGTTTCTTTACCGGAAGTATGTCATTTAGTCTTGTATTTAATTTCTTTCTTTTTTGTCATACATTATACTTTTTATTTGCACATGTATTTTTAATGTCTTTATAATTGTCAACTAGTTACGGATAAGGAAAGTTTGCATAATTAAATATTCCTTTTGGCTTAAAAAATATTAAATATATTAATTACAGTAATCCCCCCCCCGAGCCCACCAGCAGCCAAGCAGTGAAGTCACTGGGTGCCAGTAGTTCAATCTGGGATCCTATCCCAGTAAACAAGCACCGTAATCAACTAACTAACGTAACCCAACCAAATCCCCTTTGAGTTATATAACTAATGCATTCCATAAACTTTAATATAAATCGAATTTGTAAACTACTTAGTGTAGTTTAGAAAGAAACTGCATTAATATTATATGTATGCATGCATGTGTATATATTATTTGCCCAGCATTATTTCATAAATATGATTAACAACATTCATATTCAGCCAGGAGTGCAAGATTGCATTCTAGATGAGATATTTTAATTTTTGATTTAATTAAATTATTGTTTAAAAATTACAAGCACAGTGTTCATGTATATCATGACATAGTTTCTATGCATATGTAAATTGCAGATTTCTACCTGTATTGTTAACTTCAGTCACATTCCGCTATGTAATGTACACTAGTTAAGTCTGAGTGCATTCTGTATTCATATCCCACTCATTTCTCTTCTAATAAATTAACACTGTTTTTTTTTTTTCATTTTGGAATACTTTATGGTACAGATTTTGTTGGCCATAATGTTGAATCACTGAATGCTAAAAATTCTGATTTGATTTTTCAGCAGCCTTCCAAAATTACATTTTAGGAGGAGCAAGAACAGATTTTTTAAGGATGCAAGACACAAATGTTGGGAACCCGTGCATTAAATGGTGCCTAATGTACTTATACATTTTTTCACGAGTTGTGAAATGGGGAAATTAAATGGTTAAATATTTCAGTGAGAAGTGATACATTATGTAGGATATTCAATATGCATAATGGTCAATATATGATAGTTTTTTACTGCAGTTGAGTGATGCATCACCAAGTCCTACATGGTTCAGGTCAAACTGGTCTCATTTTACTGCAGATCCACATCACAAAAATTGAGAGTTTACAACATCTTGGAATTTTTATGTATTACAAAACTGGCCTTTTATCCTCTTTTAAGAGAAAAATGATTAAAAAAATGTCATTTCATAAGCTTTTTTTTGTCATTATAATTTTAAGTATCAATATAAGTGGTGCCAGGCATTTAATTTCTTTACCACAATCAAATGAGTCCATTTAGAAAGTATAAAATGTCATTTATTTATTATCATAACCATTACCAATTCTTTTTCACTCCTATAATTTTAAATAAGTAATTATAATACTTGATAGTATACCATAATGCTTTTATACATATAGCACACTGCTTACTTTAGATATTCACGTAAAGAACAGTAATAGTAGAAAATTCAAAATTAAAAGAACACAATTTAAACAAAATCCTTTATTTGAGTTTTTAAACTCAACTAATATTTTCAATGTCAAATTTTGTGATAATTCATAAAATATACGAATAAAAGTTAGTTCAAAATAAAATACATGTGAAAGAGGGGCAATATACAGTGTTTAAGGAAAACCATCATCCTCTTCATCTGTCATCTCTTTTGCATATTCAATATCCTGTTTTTCTCGTTCTCGACGTTCCTAAAAAAGTAGACAAATAATTTATTACATAATTTTACATCAATAAAAATGTAAATAGGCAAAGAAAAAATGAAAATTTTCAGTGTTATTGAAAATCCAAAATGTGATGAATATATTATTTTGGCTACCAATACGTTACAACTCACATTTAAAATTTTTTAATTAAATGACCATTTATCCGAACTGTGTTGTATGCATATAATAAATAATCTGCTTCACTGCAAAAGATTACTTAATTACTGATTAATTTATATGGATAAAATACAACAGGCGTTTAAAGAATACACACAACTAACAAATTTATTAGGCATTCAATATTTTTCTTAAATCACGGCATTTTTCTTTACTGTTGTATAAAGCAATTTTAAAAATCCTATTTTTTAAAATCAAATAATCGCATAAGAATTTCCAAACATTTTTCAAGTTGACTAAATTAATGCACAGAGTATAAATCAAAGAACAACTGAAAATCATATTAAACAAAGATACTGAAATGGTTTTCATAAAATTTAAAATATTTTCATTCATAAAATATTTTTGAAATTTTGAAATTGAAAAAAATTTTATGTGGAACATTTTTCATTAAAAAACTTAGTTCAGTAAGCAGTCTGTTCCAAAAGGAGGTGCAATAATGAGGTGCACAAGTATTTCAATCCACAAAAATAAAATACTTCATGAAAATATCCACAGAATGCAGTTGCTTCTTAAAAATTATGGTAGAGTGCTAATAAGAATATGGCATATTACTATTGGTATTGCATACAACAATATTCCATATGGTGATGTCAATCCTCACAGGAAAGTCTATTCCATTAAAGCAGATACAAGCTCTGTACAGATACTAACATGTCATTACTATATATTCTCCATATATGCACAGTAGTAACATAGTCAGATGTAAGTTAAGAAATTGAGCTGTTCAGTTAATGGAATATTAACTTTTATAATTTTCTCATGGTCAAGCTCATTGTGGTTGTATCATTTTATAACATGAGTATTTTGCTTAATGTTTAATACAGAGAGATTCTTGCAAAAACCATTTATATTTTTAACACTGAAATTTCTTCAGAAGCATATAGAAGCCTATGCATAAAGGAACATTAACTGCCACAATCATTACTTCTAGGTATATTACTCGCATGGATAATAAGTGAATGCCTCTTCCCATTTTAATAAATGGTTATGTTCTGCAAACAAATAAACAGATTCATCTGTAAAAAGCTCCATCCCAGCCTAACTCTTATAATTACATGAATAATTCCATCACACTCTTTTATGATGTAAGAAGTGAAATATGCAGATTAGATATATGCCTTTGTAGTTTTTTTTAAAAAAGACACCATGAAGCTACCTACATTTCACAAAAGCTAATATTCTTTTTTAGAAATAGTTATAATAAAATTTTTTTAATCAAGCTTGACTAATTTCTAAGCTTCATTATCAAGTTAACTACAAATACCAGACTGAACTGAATATTAACTGAATCTTCATGACAAAGAATACATGCTTAGAAGTTAATTCCATAATAATGGTCATGTTTTGTAATTGAAAATAATTAGTTGCCTTTAAGTATCATTTGCCAAATGACGAATTTAGTTTTCAAAAAATGACTATTCTTATTCTTGCTTGTTTAGATTTAAAAAACTATAAACTATATATATATACTTTAAAATTTTATTACACCCAAGCAGTGTTTTTTTTTTTTTTTTTTTTTTTTTTTTTTTTTTAACATTTTGGTGCGTTACCTTTATTTATTAAATATTATGTTCTTCCCACTTAAAACATAAAATGCAATTCAGGAATACCACAAATTATTTAAAAACATATCTCGAGGATTTCCAATAGACAGTCTCATGTGCTGGAGATAAAAGTTTTTTTTTTTTTTTTTTTGGGGGGGGGGGGACATTGTTGCCATTGTTAGCCCAAATGGCATTTAGCCCAGAAGAGCTATTAATTTCGTTCTGACATTTTGTATTAAAAACTTTATATGTCAGTTCACTTTTTAAACTTTACCCAACCTTTAAATATAAACCTGTATTATATTTAAAGAAATTAAATAATGAAGAAACGGCATAAATGTATGTTTCTCGCATTGTTGTAAAACAATACCTACAGCCATCAAATATTGAATAACGTACGTTTCCACCAGAATACAGGAAGACCGAATTTGGAATTTGTTCTATTATGTATTCATATTTTGTAAATGAATTTTTGATTAACAAAAACTCAACGATTTCAAAGCGAGCTTTGGCAACACTGTGCGTAAAAAAAAAAAAAAAAAATTATTTCCAGCGTGCGAGATTGTGTATTGAAAGTTCTAAGGATATGCTCATTTAAAAATTATTTTGTGATATTGCTGTTGAATTAAATTTTATGGTTTAAGTGCGAAGAGCATGGTATTTAATAAATGAAGGTAACACACAAAACATGGGGGGGGGGGAATTACGCATAACATAAAAATTGAAAGCTTTCAGATATTTTTTCTTCAATTTGAAATCCTCAAGTTTATTAATCAGAAATTCATTAGTTGCCTTTAAGTATCTTAAGTTTTACAAAAGATGAAATACATAATAAAGCAAATTTGGAATTTAAAATTCGGTCTCCCAGGTGCCGTTCAGGTGGAGGATTACATTATTCAAAATTTGACAGCTCTAGTTGCTGTCACTTTTTCACAATGCAAGAAATATATGTTAATGCAGATTCTAATTTAATTTCTTTAAGTATAATGCAGGGCTCTAATATTCGGTGGCAACAATTTAAAAAGTGGTTGACACAAAATGCCAAAACAAAATTAACAAACTTCTGGGCAAATTGCCCCAATGGACTAATAATTATCTGCTCCAAAATCTGTTTTATTTTACATAAGCTGATGCCACCTAGAATGATTTTCATATGATGTAGTAATAAAATATAACTATTGGTAAAATAAAATATCCCTTAGTTTATAAGCAAATTTGAAGACCAATTGAGTTAAGAAATTTCTGATTGTTATTAAGAGAATCTTTTCCCTTACAACTAAGTGATTAAAAATTTAAACTAGCAGATATTTATTTTTATTAAGCTCACTTCCTAATTGCATGTGCAAATGTATCAAAAAATCATATCCAAACTAAGATTAACATTTTTACCAAATAATACAATTTAAATCTGTCCCTTTTACACTGCAGTTAAAGTAACAAGATACTGAGGAGGGAAAAGATTTATCTACAAGAAACTATATTCAAATTCATTTCTTCTTTTGATAATGTGCAGAAATATTTATAAAACAAATTAATCCTTTAAATGAATTATAGTACCCACATAATTTCTCATCAAATGCTAAGTCATACACACCTACATATCATCTATAACATTAAAGTTTTAATAATCTAGAATAATAATAAATATTAATATGAATGATAAAATACTTTTGAATACAATAGAATTTGCTACTTGTGCAGGTAAAAAACTCAACTGCATCCCCCCCCCAAGAAAGCCCACCAGCGGGCGAGCGGTAAAGACACTGAACACTGGTAGTTCGGTCCGAGGTTCGAATCCCGCGAACGCGCTGGCTGCATGGGCGTTTTCGTGGTTTTCCCCATGTGTAAAGTGTATACGAGCCAGTTTCCCTTAGAAAGTCCTCCACGAAGGCATCCCTCCCTTTAGCCCTCGTGTGCTTTGCTGTAATTAAATAATCCAATCCAATCCCCCAAGAATAAGAAGAAGATTATGAAATTAATACAAAAAGCATATAACTACGTTACTATAAAAAAATCCTAATTTAAAGTATTTGAATAAAAAGAATGGTGAAAAATAAAATTTTGAAAATGCAAAAGTATTATTAATATAGATATTAATAAATAATAAGAAAAAATGTCTGGCATCATAAAAACAGATCATATTAAGCAAAATCACATCAAAAAAATTCAGAGATATTTTTGTTTTTTAAGCTTCATCGTCATTCCCATCCAGTGTTTCGTCTGTCCAAAATGGTCATGTGATCTTGCTGGTGAGCACCTTGCCATTCTTATAAAAAGAAGTTTATAAACACACACACATATATATTGAAACAACCATAAAATATTTCAAATGTATCACATTTGTTTTCTTTAATGTATATTTAAATTTTATTGATATTCTGTCAACTTTCTATCATATATTAAATATTCAAATTTAAAACAAATCAAAATAAAAAAATTTGAAAATCAAGTGAAAAATGAAATGAAAAATAACTTGAATTTGAAAAGAAATATAACTTGGTTACATGTCATTTTAAATAAGGTACAGTACAAAGTCCATAATCCAGACTTGTCGGGACTTCGGCGATTCCGGATTAGGGGTTTTTCTGGATCATCAATTTAAATCTGGTAAGATGGCATGCAGAAATTATACAATTAAAAATATGAAATCGTAATTTATGAAATAAAGAGCAATTATGATCTAAAAGGTATCAAATTTTACAAAAAAAAAAAAAAAAAAACACCTTAATATTTATTTTACTTTATTACACATTTCTTTCAACACCCGCATGCGTAAAGTTTGTTGTTTTGAGGTCCAGATTATGGACTTTGTACTGTATTACAATTTTTTGGTGTCCTGGAAATTTGCTTTTGGAAACTTAAAGTAAATAATTTGAAGAAGGGATTTTTCAGAAAAATTTTACTGCTTACTGGATTGCTAAAATATTTTTTATATTTTGTTATTGAAAATTAACTGTTACCCACGAAATACATTTATTTAAGAAGTACTTTTTGTTCATAAATGTAAGTTAAAATTTCAATTGATCATAGACTATCAAATTTTCATTATAATGAAATCTCAGCTATATTTCATTATGATGAAATCACTTAAAGAATAAAAGATAATTTATAGTAAGTTATTGTGTAAAACAGCATCAAAGCTCAGTCATATTTTGGCACTTATTAGTACATAAACTTTGTAAGCTTGCATTATATTATGTAATTTGTACAAAATGAACAATATAAACAGTTACATTTTTAAAACCTTTATTTGCTCTTACTGAGAGAAAAATAATAACAATTGCTCAATATTGTTCACATCTGTATGGAATTCTTTGGAGGATCTTAATAAAATTTAAAGATTTTTCGTAGTAGCTTGAGAATCTTCAACCTTCTATTCTGGATTTTTTAAAAAGAAAAACAAAATTAGTATTTTTCTGATATGTGAAAGAATATTTATTTAACGAAGAAAGGATTAACATACAAATCACACAATTTGATTTCCTCTTTGTTCCTGTATATAATTTTCCTTTAATGTCACCTAAAATATTTGTTATTCAAGATTTTACAGTAAACGCTCAACTATCTGGAAAGTTCGGGAAATGCTAAATGATGGAGAAATGAAAATTTTGGATAGTTGAGCATATAAAAACTGTAATTAATGATAAAAATGTCCAATAGATGGAAGAAATTTCCAGTCTAAAATTATAAAAGCAATCATCTTACTTGTTACCAACTAGATTATCAAAAGCTTACATTTAAAATTATGTAAGGCAAAAAATGCATTTCAGACATCAGAACAGATACATTTTTAAGACTTAACTTATTTTTATGACTTAAACATATGAAAGTAAAACATCTTAACCAATTATAAAATCCTGTAGATCATGAATATTGGCACTGATGTCGCTAAATCTGCACCATCATTCTAACAGAAGTTCAAAGACAATTTTTTTTTGTCTTTTTAATTTTATTTTTAAACAATTTTCCATGCTTACAGAACACAAAATTCAAAAGCAAAATCAGAAAAGTTTTAAAAACAGCATATTCTTAGAATTCCTTATACAGTGTTAAGTGCTGTCAATTAAAAAGATCTTTTCTCAGTATATCAAGTGCTCGGTTTTGTTAGTAAGATACTTTATTTATCAAGCACAATTTCTTTCACACTTATCCCACATTAAATTCAACAGCAAAATCAAAAATATTTAAAAACAAATCTTCAGAACTCTCAAGAATGTTGTCATATATTTTTTTTATATTCACTATACTGTACAAAGTCTGAAATTCGGATGTCTAATATCTGGACCTTCAGACCATCAGCAATTTTTTTGCAAAAAGGGAGAAAGGGGAAGAGAAAAAAAGGGTGATTAGATTCCGAGTGTAGCATATACTTCACGCATATGCAGTAGACATTTTCTCATAATACAGCATGAGAGGGTGGGTCTGATTCTCAATTTCACTTTAGCACTTAATAAAACACTATCATGTTGAAAAAACACAATCATTTATTAACATAAATCTATCTGATCCATTATCTGGCTCTGTAGCTGCTTTACTGCTCAACATATAAATCAAACCAAAACATTCAATCAAAGTCTGCTGAATATCATATAACCCTTATGCCAATCTAATGGATCATTTGTTGTTATTTTTTGCTTTCATTTATCACATGATTATCAACCCATGGAAGCTTGAGGAATGACTCATGCAGCAATATCTAAAATAATTTTTGTCTTAAATATCAGTAACTGAATAATACACAGCATGATAACTATTATGCTCAATGATGATTACAAACTAAAGCCAACTGTATTTCGAAGTGTTGACGAGGAGATATTTAACAGAAATTTCTGAAAAACAGACTTTGTAAATGATATTTACAGGCCAGTTACTGCTGTTTGAATTAAGGTTAACTAATTTATTGTTCTTATAAGAAGTTCAAATGTATTTTGCCATGATGTACCTGCCAATTGATGTTTGGTGTGCTTGCCACAAATAAATGACTCGCATAGTTAGAAACTGTTTATGATTAAGAAAACTGCCACAATGCATGGCAAGTGCATAGTGGAAAAATAATGCCTTAGTATATGTGGGAACTTACTTCATCAGAACTCGGATAAGCCTTAAGCATATACAGGAAATATACGTAAGTATAATAAACAAAAAAACTAATATAATTCAGGCTTAATTTCCTCAGCATGACATAGGAGATGGATAAGTTTTAGTAGAGCATGTCTTTAGTCATTAAGCTTTATGATAATCGCCAGTAGCGTATAATGGGAGCTTCACACAGACTTTATTATAATAGCCATGAATTTGAAGTTTTTCAGATATCGGAAACAAAATGTGAAATTTTCTGATGAATGGAACTTGCAAAGAAAGCAGAGAAGTGGTAATAAATGAAGATGATATAACATAAGAATTCCACTGGATGACAATGACCCAATAATCAATCAACGGACACATGGCAAAATTTGTAATATGGTTTCAAATGCAGATAATTTCTCTATCAATAGTGAAGAAAATGACAGAGAGGTTGTTGGGAATGAAAAATTTTTGACACATAATTGGAATTCTTGATATGGTAATTATAGGAGTACATTATAAAATTAAAGTATTAGCACAAAACGTGAAGTAACCGAACCAGCTTACACTGAAAGAAACGTAATAAATACCGAGCCTTTTTTTGGGGGGGGGGGTAATTTTGATTCTTTTAATTCATAAATGTTTCAATTATTTTAGATTTCTATAATTTCTATATGTCCTCTTACTAGATTTAAAATGAGGATCAGATAACTCAGAAAATTCCCAAATCAAGGATATCCAGACTTCTTTTAAGTCCGGATCTCAGAAATTGCACTGTATTATTTCTTTAAAAATAATACATTGCAAAAACTTTTGGTGGCAAGCCCTTTACATGAAAAGTGATGTGGACAAAAAATTCAGGATCAAAACAAATGGCACCTAAAAAAAAAAAAAAAAAAAAAAATTACAGCCCTCTGTAGTAATGGACAATAATTTATCTCGACCTAGATTTTACTGACTGGGTCCTTAAATGAGGAATAACAAAAGGAATTTATTGCATTCCCGTGTACATGCCTTTGCAGTATAAGTAGTAACAGGAAGATCCATTCTTCACATCTCAATGAAGCCATAGTTATTTTTATTTATGTACAAATGCAAATAATTTCATCCTTTCATTTATGTAGGACTCCTGGGCATGATCTCTGTCTTAAATATTTAGGCCTAGTTAAACATTTTGTTTATTTTAATAAATATAGCTATAGGAATCAAGAAGTCATAAATAAAAAATTTTATTTTGTAATTTTAAAAATCAATTTTTGAAATTAAAAAAAAATAACCTCATTTTTTTTTTTAATATAAAAAATTTATTTAAAGCTTTTTGGTAATTGAAAGTAGAGTGTACTCTTGATTATCTGGGCTAATGCTGGACAGAAGGCTTTATAATTGAAAAATACGGATAATACATACTATGAATATTCATGCATATGTGTTAAATATTTGTCAGATTTCACTGAGTACTTTTCTGAGTGCTATTTTATCATTGTATTCAATTGTCTTTGGTCAACGAAGTCCAGTAGAGTTTGAACATAAATTTAATCATAAAAATAAATCTAAAGAAGCAATTCAGTGCTATACCATGCTTGAATTTGCAAGGGTTTTCTACATTCTCTTGCTTGCATGCATGCACACATGTGTGAAAAAAAAGATAAAATTTTAACTTCATTTGACCACCAGTGGCTGAATGATTAAGAATGCTGAATGCTGATAGTTCAACATGGCTTTGGTTCAAATCCAAGTGCTGCTGGCTGCATGGTTGGTTTTCCTCACGTGTAATACAAGCCAGCTTTCCTTAGAAAGTCCTCCATGAAGGCATACTTAGTTTTAAGCAGATAGACCTGGTGGTTTTACTATGTTCAAATAATCTAACTTAATTTGCAATAATTTCTTACTTCTCCTTTTATAATTTTGGTTACTTTCCCTATCCATCCTAAAAAATAGTAAATCCTAATAATAAATTGCTATAAACTGCATCATTTCAAATTTAATTCTCCTTATGATTTCTACATAACACCATAGACTCCAAAATATAACTTGTCAGTAATTACTGCGTGAAACCTTAAAAATTGCATGTAATACACATTTTTCACTAATATTAATTTAAAAATTATAATTACGATCTACATATATAGAAAACTGAAAAACTGTTTTAAAATTAATGCATTTATTTAGAAGTTTTCATTAAATTATTCAAATAGAAATATCACAATTTATTAATATATTTTGAAGTGACTATTCAATATTTTACATATAAAAATAATCACATGAAAGGAAAACCGCAATCCATAAACTTCCATACATCAAATTTTTATGAAAATATTAAATTATTTGACACTTTAAGTATTTTCCCATTGACCATGAAATTGGCAGAAGTCTCGCCAGTCATTCAGATTTCAGTTTCCAAAAGCAGATTACAGTTTAATTAGTTAGGTAATCAAAAGATACAAGTTACAGGTATAGTACAAAATATTTAAATAAATGTGATCTTAAACTTATGCTAATCATTCTGGTGGTTTTTAAATTTTAGGATCTTAATTTTCAAGATGACAAGTGAAAACACATAGGTCCAACACTGTGAACTGAAAATGCTAGAGATAAAGCACACTACATATCTATCTTCTTGCCTAAAGGGGGGGGGATAAGATAAAAGGACAATACTCACTAAAGGGAGAAGGCAGGTAAAGTCTTCTCCCTTTAGTGAGTATTGTCTGCTGCATAGAACAATGCATGCCATATGTAGCAGCAGTAATGATGAATGCACTGTAACTGTTGTGGTTTTAATACATCCACTTTTACACTTCTAATTTAATGCACAAATATGCTTTTGATTCACTTCAAGAAATTGTATACTGTTGGAGTAACACTCTAATGTAGGCAAAGAAAAGTACACACCTGTATTTGAGAATAGCTAAAAAGCTTATTATCCCAATGTCTTGTAAAAGGGTACAAAAAGTGTATTGCTGTACTGGGAAGCATCTAGCAAAGTGATACATGTCATGTTAATTTGTTCACAGTTATCAACATGAAAAAATATACTTACTGCTTTTAGTAATTTCTCACTCATTTTTATTGCTTACTTATATATTTAAAATAATCATCTTCACATAAATAAATACATAAATTATACTTACTTCAGCTGTCTCAAGGTCTTTATGAAATGATTTAGGTGGAAACCGCATTGTCTAAAATAAAGAAAGAATATAATACAATCATTGCATTTTCAATCATGGTAAAATTACAAGATTTTGAAACATTCCTAATAATAATTCAGTAATATTTTCCAGCATTCATAGTGTATATGATAGGCCTAAACAACCTTAATAAATAAAGTTATATGTCAGTAACTTATAATAAGTAGTTTAGATAATATTTTAAATATTCCAGCACAGAAAATCTGGAATTACAACCTGTTTTAAAATTTTATGAGCACATCATGAATGACTGGTGCTTTATTAGAATAAATTAAAATTTCATAAGCCTCAGTAAGTACGGCTTCTTGTTGAGGGATTGTACTGTCCAGGACATGCATTCCTTGAAAAGAGAACAATGTTATTACTTTGTATAATGTAACAAGAACGGTCTTAAGAAATGCAAAGCTCCAAACAAAACAACAACAACAAAAAAAAAAAAAAGTTGCAGGAGCAAATTTATTTAACATTCAGGTAAATGGCTAAATTGCCGAAGACACGAACAAGTTGGCAATGGTTTTGGCAATTGAGTTTTTTTTTTACCAAATTTGGCAAGAAATTGCAAAAAGTCGCCGAACTTGGCAATAGTTTGGTCTGATCTCTATACGTAAACACAACTATGCATGCCTTTCAGTAGTTTTGAGAAACTGAAGTTACTGGAAATTCTTCCACAGAAAAATTGTATAAAACCTACGAAAGCTTCAGTTTTGAATTGTTTAGTTCAAAGTAGAGTTTGGAGTACTGAGAGATCTCCATGCGAGCTTCGCCTTTTGGATGCATTTTGCATTACAATTAATGTTCTTAGTAGTTTGAAGTGTAACTACTGATTGTGCTCTCTCCTACTGAAAAGAGCTGAATGAGTACTTTTGTTGAAAATTTCAGAACTGAAGAGTGTTTCTAATGGAAATATAAATTTTATCAAGCTATCAACACTTCTGTGTGCATTCAATCTATTATAAACCCATATGCATACAATATAATAGCACATACCAACAGGACACTTATTGAAAAAATTAAAGAATTAAATTAAATATTTAAAGTGTATAAAACTATTTAAATTATAAAACTGTTAAACCATAACTAGAAAAGTAGTCAAGGTTGACAGAAATAATAAAAGGGGGCCCTACTGTCCTCTGTTGCACCAGGGACTCAAGTCTCTAGTTACGGTCCTATAAGAAAAGTTAACTTACAGCAAAGCTATATCTATGATAAAAGTTGTTAACTGAATCTAAAATCATTAGCATTTCACCTCAGTTCTGAAACTCTGTTTTGTACAAAAATGTACAGATGAAAATAAAACTGGTATAAATATCATTAAAAAAAAAAAAAAAATCAGCTCCCTACATGACATAGTTCTCCTTAATTTTAAAATTTCAAGTATATCTTACATAAATGTATAGATTACCTTCACAGATTTATTATGAATGTCCAAGCAAAAGCTGATTCTCTTGTGAAATGCTGCTAGAGGTTCTCCAGTGCTATATACATCTACAGTTTGTTTGGACTGCATGTACCCTTGAGCATGGTTTATATTTGCTTCAATCACTCCATCACGTATAGCCTATAATGTAAATTTTATTATTTTTGTGTTTCAGATTTAAATATAGAGATAAGACCAGTTAATGTAATGTACCAAACAGATAATAGAAATGCTGTAATTGCAGCGTCATTACGAAAAAATTACAAAATTGATATGCAATGTTTACAACATGAACAAAAATAATATAAATTTACAAAACTGTATTTATTCTAGATTATTTTGTTTGCAGAATTAGTAATGCTCAAACATTTTTCTCACATGAATTCTCCTTTTAAAATGGCTTGATTATTTTATTTTTAATGTAAAAGAATATATCATACCCTTACACTAAGCATATACAGTCAAAAGTCGTTAATTCGGACACCCATAATTCGGAATGATCTATAATCCGGACATCAAAACTAAAAACTTTCTGCGCATGCGCCGCGTTGACACATGCGCAGAGGCGTTCACGCGTGCGTGTAAGACCTTTTACGACTGCGCATATGAGTGTGCGCAAGTGCAGAATACGTTTTCGCGTGCGCATTTTATGTATAATGGAGGTATAAGCTAAATAATTATCTATTTCAGTTAATGTTGATGATTGCGTTGTTCCTTAATTTTCAATTGCATCCGGCTTATTATTTTTGCAGACTGTAAGAGCAATTTATAAAAAGTAAGCTTAAACTTTCGATTATATCAAATAGAATTTCCGATATATATTTGTTAATATGTAAAGGATCTAAAGAAAGTATGTTTTGAAATCCGAAATCTGTTTATCATTTTCACGCGCTGCGGCGGGGCTCGTAATGAATTGGAATTTGATTTGTCAGCACTATCCTTATCTTCACGCAGATGTTTTTATTTTATTTGGCTTTAATTCCTACCAAATGTAGTATTTCATCTCGATATGCTCCGTCTTGATATGATTTAAAACAGTTCCTCGTCATTATAATTCGCTTCCGAGCGAAGAAAAGTGACAGAGGTTATTGAAACAAAAATTTCGATTGACAAATAGTCGTGTGTCTTGACACAGCAATTATAGGACTTAACGGCGGAACTTTGTAACTGAACAAGAAATTATTCTGTTTTAATAGAATTAAAGAGAAAGTATTATCACATGAACGAAGCAACTTAAACAACTTACATTGAAAGAAATGTTTAATAAATAAACAAATAAATATTAAGCTTTTTTTTTTTTTTTTTTTGTAAATTTTGATACCTTTTAGATCAGAAGTTGATCTGTCAGCACTATTCTTATCTTCAGGGCAGATGTTTTTATTTTATTTGGCTTATAATTCCTTACTAAATTCCTTAAAATCGAGTATTTCATCACGATGTACTCCGTCTTTGGTATGATTTAAATCAAATTCCTCATAATTATAATTTGCTTCCGATAGTGAAGAAAGTGACACAGAGGTTATTGAAAACGAAAAAATTTCGATTGACAAGTTAGTCGGTATTCTCGACGCAGCAATTACGGGACTTGAACAGCGGAACTTTGTAACTGAACAAGAAATTATATCTGTTTACAGAATTAAGTATTATCCCATAAAACGAAGCAGCTTAAACAACTTACACATGAAAGAAATGTTTAATAAAGTAAACAAATAAATATTAAGCTTTTTTTTTTGCAAATTTGATACCCTTTAGATCATAATTGTTCTTTATTTCATAAATTACGGTTTCATATTTTTAATTTTGGAATTTCTGCATGCCATCTTACGAGATTTAAACTGATGATCTATAATCCGGAAAAATCGATAATCCGGAATCGCCGAAGTCCCGACGAGTCCGGATTAACGACTTTTGACTGTACCATGCTTAAAATTTTAATCCATGTTCTTGCCGAAGATAGCTCGAACTTATTTAATGATACTTAACTTCAGTAAGTGGACTGTAATATTAACAATAACAATTTTATTTTAACAAAAACAACATTATTGAATACTAGCACACGCATGTGCTTATAGTTACCTACTAACTTAGCTAAAGAGTGAGCAACCATATCTCTTACATCAAGTCAGAAATATTCATACTAATAAAGCAAAAACGAAATAACTTTAGGGTTACACTAAAGCCAAACTCTGCTTGGCGTAAAACAATGCTGCTAAGCAATACTCTTTCAGACACCGAACAATCCAATACATTTAAAATTTTAAAACAACATTTTTTAGAAAACATATGCACTTGATCTCTTTCCCAAGCACAACGTGTAGGATGCATAAACTGTTATTCATTATGTTAAATTGTTTGGACTGACATCGCTTTAGATGAAATTAGCTTTTCACTAACCTTGGCCACAATAAATTCTGCATCTTCAGAGCTGCCTAAAAGAAGTTTTCGGGCTATCTCTGCTAGAGAAATTCGGGAATAGGAGAGACTGATCATTCGAATTCCAGTCTTGATCACATTGTGCCTCAGTCGCAATATTAGAGTGTAGGTATGATCTGCTTGAAATTGAGGACCTAAGTTTTCTAGAACTTCATTAAACATATTGAGATTTCCAGCCTTAACCGCTGAAAAAAATGTAAGTAAAAATTAGCTTCATAATATAATGTTAATTTGAAATAAATACAATACAGATATCAATGTTGATCTTTTCTTAAAATTATACAAAATATTGCAGAAATAAACACATTTTAAAATATAAATTGTTAATTACAAAAATATTTAAAGAAGTGTAGGAAGATTGTTAATTACCACAAAGAATTCTAACAAAATTTCATCATACAGAATAAAGCCAAAATTAAAATTCTTTTGACTTACTGATGACAGATTACTGCAAAATGATTGTATTTATCATATTTTTGTTTTGCTTATAGTAAATGTTAAAAATTTTCATACAAACTTCATTCAGCATTTCATTTTATTATAGGTCTATTTAGAATAAATAGTAATACTTTTTTTACAGGTTATGTTTGGTTACACAGAAGCTTAAAACATTCTTTTCTAATCTCAATCATAAGTTTCCATCTCCTGCCTTAAGTAAATGCGAAAGAAAAAGTAGTTTAGTTGTTAATTTTCATGCAAGCACTTCAACACAGTTGTTATCGAAGTTGTTCTCCTATTCTTTGTGGAGGGTTTCTTAAACTTTTTTAGTCACAACCCCTTTTTGTCACTGAGATTTTTTCACGACTCACAGGACCCCATAATATTTACAAAAATTTTATGAGACCCCGTAAGTACTGCACAAATCCGACACACGCATGAGTGAAACTGTCAATTTTGTTCACTTGTGCTGTAATATACTACTGCAGTTTTAGGTCATTAACTTTAATTTCTAATTTTAAGACACAAAACAATGTGAAAATTTTAAATAAGTAACAGACGAAATGACAGCGTCCCGTGCAAAGCAAAGAAAATGAAATGAACGTTTGTATTATAAAAAGAATGTGTCGAAATATTTTCGTTTTTTCTTATGTTTATCAATTTTCAGATACATTATGTAAAAATATTTGGTAATTGGGAATCACTCCTGGCAGCGCAATTACTGGTTTGAGGTTCGTCAGCGCCTTCTTCAGCCTCTTCATTGTCGTCGTCGGGCAAGATTGGATCGTAGAGAGCTTTGGCCTTTGTCCTGATCATATTAGTGTCCAAACTCACTGTCATTTTCCTGCCATCAGCAATCAACAATGCCAGTGCAGCTTCCATTTTTACAATTCCGTTATTACGCGGAGTTATCACACGTTTTGCTTTTTTATTGAAGGTTACTGAGGCAGTTTTGCAGATGTTTGCTTCCTCTTTCTTGATGTACTGCACTGTAGATTCATTCGCTCCGTAATGGCGTGCCACAGATTCATAACTTCTGCCCTCTTTAATCATATTTAAAAGTTTCACTTTTTCGCTGATGATCATCATATTCTTCCTCTTGGGCACCCCAGAGGAAGCTTTCGCAGGGGCACAGCACTTAGGCGGCATTATAAGGGCTTAATTAATAAAAAAAAGTTATCGCTTAAACAAAAAAAGTTATCACCAACACAACATTAAAATACAGTATGTGAGACAGTCAACATCATGGACAAGACTGGCGAAGTACAACAAGAGAATATGCCAGGTGAGGCTGCGATGATGCGCAGACAATCAACTCACAGGGATAAATCCACTCGTACTCTCATTGGTCGATGTCGCATTGGAAACCAATCATGCGCCTTTATGAGAGCCCGTGTACTCTGAGTCAACTCATCTCTTTGTTTGGTTGTATTTTTTTACTTTTATTTTCTGATGAATATTTTGGAAAAACCCGCGAAGCACTGAAGCTGCAAAACATGAAGCGCAAAGTGGTGAGGGAACACTGTATAACATAGTCTAGGCGAGAAAAATTCTACTTACAATTTCCGATGAGAACTTGAAATAGATATTGAAAAATTAAAGCCTTTCAAACAGATTCACTTCACATACTGACTCTAGATTGGGTGTGTAGGCACTTTAATATATATATATATAGAATATATAAAAGAACATGCAAAGTTAATGTATTACTACATAACATAAAGAAAAGTGAATCCAAAAATGTTAATAATAAAACTAATATAATAAAATCTGCTTATAGGTAAGATCTGAAGTAGACAAAATTCTGTACAATGTAAATGAAATTTAATAAGTTTGTATTCTGTAAATGCAAAATTCCAATTTATGTCAAGTACAGATATAACTTAGATTATGCCATGATTTAATTTTTGAGCTTTTATGCATAAACTGAAATAAAAATATAACAGGAATACACAGAACTTTCCAAGGCCTTCTTTAATCAATAAAACTGATTTCATGTTTCCTTCAGGTGTTTAAAGTTTGTACTATTTCTCAGTTTTTTTTTTTTTTTTTTTTGAAAATATATTTGGGAGTGCACTTATAGGTATTTAAAAATAATAACCTTTTCACATCAGAAACATACGTGTACTACGACAATCATACCATACATTTGTTTAGATCTTACACAGGCATGTTACTTGCATTTTGCCTGTAGTTGGAGCTATACTTTACTGATAATTCATGTAATAGATTGCAAGATTTCCTTTTTCACTCACTTAATAATGGCAGCACTAATCAACAATATTTTAATATTGATGTTTCATTGATATTCCAAAGGAAAATACTGGAAATATCAAATAATACTATTTTCATCAACAGAAAAGAAAGAAGAAAATGCCATCAGAAGAAATCAGTTATGTACCTGAAACAGAATAAGCAAAAATGCAATACAAATGAGAACCAGGAAATTTCTGCCTTTTTAAGACACAATTATTTTATGAAATACAAATTAATAGCTAACTCATATAAATATATTTAAAATGAGTGAAAATATTAAATACTACACAATATTAAACATTTTACATTTATTTAAAAGCGGAAAAGGAAAAAAAAAAAAAAAGCTTTAAAAAATTTTCTGAAAAAATTAAATATTTTTGGTACTCAGATTCTGTGTAGCCAAGACTGGCATGGAAAGGATTAATAAATAAGGGTAGAAGATGGATCACAAAGCATGACCACCCATAAAAACTAAAAGCTAATAAGAGGGCAAAAAACACACATGAAAAGACCATAAGACAGGAACTTCTTTCAAGAATGGAATAAGAATTAATTTTCAGCAATCTTGTTGTTCAAGCATTAATATCTGCTGCCTTACTATTGATCAATAATTAAGTAATAAATGCATTATTTTCAGTTTTAAACATCTCTAAACTAAACTAAAATTTCAGTAAACATTACTGACCTTGAGTTAACTGATAATAGGGTGCTAAAGATTTTCTAAGTTGAGGTTGCCTGAATAAAGATCTATCTGGTATATCACCAAGTAACAACTCTACTGTTATGGCAAGTTTGTAAACCTAAATAAAGTGAAAGATATATTATCAAACAAAAAATAACAAAATGCAATAAAAACTATTTTCTACATAATTGGGAGAAAGATATTTATAGATTTATTTTTATAAATTTGCAAAAATATAAATAGTATAAATTTTCGAAGCTTTTTTGGTACAAAGTAATATTTTACAGATGAAAATATTATATTCCATTATATAAAAAGACTTACTCAAATACGCAAGAGCATACCAATATTAACAAACAAGTCCTTTTACCAATTATCTTAATATAAACAATATTATTTTATCAGCTTTTTTTTTTTTTTAAATCAGTAGAAAAGAAACATGCACATTATATACTAATAAAACTTAATGTAAATACTGATGTAAATAAAATTATATTGTTATTAAAATTTGCATTACTATAATTTAATACACAAGTTTTTAAATTTGATTTATTAAAACTTTAATCATCATAATAAAACAGTTATTAAATTTATTCATTCAAGTATTACATGTGTTAGTTATTTCTATTGCTTGTCTTCTTTGATGGAATAATTTACTTCTATTATAATCAATAAGCACAACCCTAATTATAGGGTTCATACACATTTCTGCACATGGAAATTAAGTACTTTTGAGGATAATTAACAAAAAAAAAAAAAAAAAAAAGGGACGTATCAACAAATGGGAACTGAATAAATTCAATTAAAGATATTAGCTATGCCTGAACTTCACTTTTGTAATACCATCCTAACAATAAAATAGACCCACAAGTAGAAAGCCTTACCATTAAACATAATTTAATAAACCTAATTATAAAACACATTTGAGAATAAAATCAGCTTTATAAAATTTATCCAGTAGCATTAAATATTTTACACTTTTAATAGTTGGACATACTTGAAAGAAAATTACTGACATTTTATACATTTTACTAGTTGGACATACTTGAAAGAAAATTACTGACATTTTATACATTTTACTAACTGTTAGCTTTACGCTGATTTTTTCTTTTTTATGCCTCATTTTGTCATGCACTTGCTCAGTTTAGAAGTTTAGTAAATAGCAGGTAGATTTTACGTTAAACTGCATAGGTTAAAATGAGAAGTAGATCAGAATGATTCGTAACAGAAGACTGCCTGTTGCCACTGCTGCTGATTCCCTAGACAGAGACCTGCTGATCAGAACAAACCTGCAAGTCTGATGTAAGCACAGTTGGCCGCACTGCCTCACACTTTATCTTCGCTCAACATGGCATATCAGTTACAATTGTAGTGTCAAGTCTCGTACAAACTCGTTTATTTTGTTCTTCATGGATATACTTACAGATCTACATGCATATTACTTATCTCACAAGTATGTTATGTCACACACATATTTCAGAACTTTATAAAATCGAAAATCGGCTAAATATTCGACCAGGGTAGCGCACCACGCGTGGGTACCTACATGCAATGTACAAATTGCCTGAGCCGACGCAATTAGTGTCATAGCTCTGTGTAGAGTTCCTGGGGTTGTAACCCAGTTAATATATTTTGAGGTTCCAAAAAAAACTAAAGCATCAGAAATGATAAGTTGTTTTTTATTATGTCTCACTAGATGCAAAGAATAAAGTTTACATTATTTTTTTGCATTATTTTGTTGCCTCTTGTGACCACAGTAAGGATTAATGAAAGGCAATAACTCACTTTAATATGCAGAAATAACTTTTAAGGATGACCAATTAGTTACAAAATAATTAAATTAGCTAGTTAGATAACCTTAGTCATTATAGATTTACAAAGCCACTATTATATTTAAAAAAATATTTGTTAAAAAATAGTATTAGAATCACAATCTATTATTAAGTCAGAGTTTAAAATACAGTACAAAGTCCGTAATTCGGACTTCGGCGATTCCAGATTAGGGGTTTTTCCAGATTATAGATCATCAATTTAAATTTGGTAAGATGGCATGCAGAAATTATACAATTAATAATATGAACCGTAATTTTGATGAATAAAGAGCAATTATGATCTAAAGGGTATCAAAATTACAAAAAAAAAAAAAAAAAAACCTTAATATTTATTTGTTTACTTTATTAAACATTTCTTTCAATGTAAGTTGTTTAAGTTGCTACATTTTATGTGATATTACTTTCTCTTTAATTCTATAAACAGACATAATTTCTTGTTCAGTTACAAAGTTCCACTGTTCAAGTCCTGTAATTACCATGTCGAGAATACCGACTAATTTGTCAATCGAAATTTTTTCGTTTTCAATAATTTCTCTGTCACTTTCTTCACTATTGGAAGCAAGCATGGGTAAACGCTTTACGTGCATGCGTAAGTTTGTGGCTTTGAGGTTTGGATTATAGATCATTCCGGATAATGGATGTCCGGATTATGGACTTTGTACTATACATGTTATTTATGACATAGATTCTTAAATGATATTAGGATAACTACACATTAAAAGCTACAAAACATTTAAGTTTTGTAGCTTTAATGTGTACTCAACAAAATATTTATACACTTTTTTAATTTGAAGCCTTTTCAGACATTTTGTTTAAATTATATCAGTTTCCTTCTTTTTAAGCATCTTTTCTTAACAATTTGAAATTTGTTTCAATATGCAAACCAATATTCCCACTAGCTTCTGCGTGCTTTATCTTCTAACTCGTCAATATCTCGACTAAGTGACTATGAGGATTTACTTGACCTGATAAAAGTTAAATATTCCAAAATACCCGACAGATGTGAAACAAATTACAGTGGTACCTCGCGATACGATCTTAATCCGTTCCTGGACCGGGATCGTATCATAAAAAAATCGTATAATGAACAATGTAATCTTATGTAATTTAATTAATTCGTGCAACGCTTCATATATAAACACCAAAATCGTCTATACGTAATAATAATTAGTCACAAAATAGTATATTAAGTACCACATACACACAATAAACATTTATACCACATTTTAAATTAAAATAACCTTATAAATAAATAAAAATAAAAAGAAAATTAATTTCACTTACCATAAGTACTGTACAGTCAGCGAGGGATAGTTTTTTTTACGACATTGATAAATTGCGCACAGTGTTTATAAAACTTAGACACAGTAATGGAAACTTAAAATTAAATTAAATTTCTTATGTAAAATTACAGACACAGTAATGAAAACTTAAAATCAATTTTTTTTTATAATTTTTTTTTTTTTTTTTTTTTTTCTTTTCTTTTTTAACTAACTGAACTTAAATTTGAGGTGATACATCATCGTCTTCACTTTCCTTTCTAGTTTTTACTAGAAATACTCGCTTCTTCACTTTCTGGGACACTTCTCTTCGAAAATACTATCTAAAAAGCCTGTTTCTGACGACTCCTCAAAATGTTCTGAAAATGACTCATACAAATGTCATTCACATTGTCCATTGCACGAGCTGTACGCACTTTTTCTGGGTGCTTTTTTTTCAATAAAACTGTTTAAGTTTTCAAACCAACCGATGGCTTCCCGTATTTCCGTAGATGTCAGTGCCACCTCCACCTCCTCCTCAACACTCGAATGATGTTCCTCTTGAAGATCGCTGATTTGCATCGCCTCCAATGCCTTCAAGTCGTCAGTGTTGAGCTCCTCCTTGTGCTCGTCGAGTAGGTTGTCAATGTCAGCCTCATCGACAACAAGCCCCAAAGACTTTGACAGACAATGGAGCAGGATCATCCACAGCCTCTTCTTCAGTAGGGATTTCGAAACCCTCAAAGTCTCGTTCTGCAACCACAGCTGCCCAGAGTTTCCTCCATGCTGAGTTCAAGGTGCTCCTTGAGACCTCACCCCATGCCTTTTCTATGATTTTTAAGCAATGGACAGTGTCGTAGTGACTATTCCAAAACTTGCGGAGTGTGAGTTGCGTGCTCTCTGTCACTTCAAAGCATCGTTTGAAAAGGTGCTTCGTGTAAAGCTTCTTAAAATTAGCAATGACTTGCTGGTCCATAGGCTGGAGAATGGAAGTGATGTTCGGTGGCAGATAGAGAGAGCACTTTGATGAAGTCGAAGTCGGGATGTATCTGTTCTTCAAGGCCAGGAGGATGAGCAGGGGCATTGTCGAGCACAAGGAGGCATTTTAGAGCAAGACCATTCTCCTCTAAATATTTTTTCATTGCAGGTCCGAAGCAGCAATTAACCCACTCAACAAATAAAAGCCTCGTGACCCCAGGCTTTGGCGTTGGACCTCCAAAAGACGGCGAGCTTATCCTTCGACACATTATGTGCCTTGAAGGCACGAGGATTTTCTGAGTGGTATACCAGTAGGGGTTTTATTTTTAAATCCCCACTGGCATTCGACACATAGGGCAAGAGTAAGCCTATCCTTCATGGGTTTGTGTCCAGGAAGTTTCTTTTCTTCTTCTGTGATGTATGTACGACGGGGCATTTTCTTTCTTCAGAAAAGCCCCGTTTCATCACAGTTGAAGACTTGTTGAGGGATGTAGCCTTCATCGAGGATTAACTTTTTGAAGGCCTCGAGAAATTCTTGCGTTGCTTTTTCATCAGCGCTGGCAGCTTCCCCTGTGCCTGACCACGTTATGTATCCCGATCTCTCTCTGAATCGTTCAAACCACCCATGAGATGCTTTGAACGTTGGGGCCCTCTTGTGTTTAATGTCCCTTCGCCTCTCTGGGCTTTTGCAAGGTCTTCAAAGATCGCAGTGGCTTTATGGCATATAGCAGCTTGTGTTATCGTATCACCAGCAATTTCCCCTTCCTTCTCTTTTATCCAAATAAGAGAAGAGTCTCCATCTCGTCATTAAGGGCAGTTCTATTGTATGAGAAGGTGGTAACGCCCTTTGCAGACTTGCTGGCTTTAATGGCTTCTTTATTCTTTATAATGGTACTATTTCCAACTTCACTTCCATGGTTATTGATGACTTTCTTTTCCCCTTATCACCACCAGCACTAGAAGCACATTTAGGACCCATGGCGAATAAAGTTTATCACAAAATAATATTACGATCACACAATCACAAGAATATCGTATGAACTGTACGA